ATCGATGTGGTGAAAATGAAATAGAGGAAAGAACTTTAGTGGTGGTCAAAAGATCAAACTGATGATGATAAGATCAAATAAGATAAAAGTTGAATGAAGAACTCTGATCAAGTGTATATGTTTCCTTAGAGTAGAACACATTACTGGCAATCATTTTAGTATCAATCATCAGGGCTACACTGATGACACATTTGCTCTGTACCTCAAATCTGATTTATGCTTAAATCCAACATCAGATCAAACATACAAGCAGGAACATTTTTAAACACACACAAATATAAATAATAACAACAACAAAATATCTTCCTTTCTAAGTAACAATGAACTGTAGCTTTTGGAAAAATACTTTGTAACATGTTTCCAAAATGATATAAAACATACTAACAAGTATAATCAGTTATACACATTAGTTTAAAGAATTATCATTTTATAAAATTTCAACTGAACTTATATTTCCATAGCAAGTTTTGTAAAGTTCAACTGTAGCATAATGTTTTAAATTAGTATTTCTTGAAGGCATCTATTTTATAAAACTGATTAATAAATATTATTTTTATTAATCTGTTTTTGAAGCTTTTAAAACTTATCCACTCATTGCAGTTGAAGTCAAGTTGGATAACATAAAGTGCAGAAATTTTATTTTCAGAGGTACAAAGGCTAGAATATATCTTGGAAAAGGAACTGCCCTCAAATTCAGAAAGTGGTTTTCCAAAATTGCATGTTCCTCCATGAGTGAGCTGCTAAATGGCATCTGAGTGATACTGATAAGCTAATAAAAAATACACGTGTAGATTTCCAATGAAAGGGATTATGCTTTTTAAAATTATTTTTTTTACTTTTGTGTACCTTCCTTTATCCTTTAAAATAGTTAAGATCAGAGCAAGAATTCTCTAAGACACTGTTAACATATTGCTTCTTACATCAAAGTGGCAATTTTGCAATGCAGTGATGTCCTCAGAGAAAGGATTTTCTAAATTCCTACTTTCTCCAATGCCTCCCCCACTTCATACCTCCCTGGAGTAGAGCCTAACTGATCAGCTCGTGGAGTCACACATCAGAAAGATTCAGACGGAAAGAGAAATGAAGATAATCAAATCCCCGAGGAGCTCCCAGGAGGGAAGAAATTGGAATGAGGAAGAAGATAGATGAGAAAGTTTTGTTTAATCTCTTCTTGTGCATAGATCACTCTAGAGTTGACAGTGGTTAAGGTGTTTGTCAAAGTAAACTAGGAAAAATTAAAAGTAGAATGCCTTCTTCCATCAGGGACTCTGCATAAAACTGCTTCCTGTGAGGCTGTTGCAGGACAGAATTAAATTCAGTGGTAGTTTTCCCAGTCAGGGAGAAATATTCCTGCTATCAGCCTCCCTGAATGGAGAAAATGGAAGCTTAGAGATAGTGACCCTGTAGTGGTTTGCCAGAGGAAGCCTTCAACGGGGAGGGTGAGAGATGTCAGAGGAAAGATCACCCAGACCGAAGTCAAGGAGTGAGTCACAGCCAGGCTTAACAAATCCTCCAGGCTGCAAAGCCGAAGTCTGATCAGCCCAGGAGGACTGACTGTCCCTGATTATGACCAGAGAGACCAGAAGACAACTCATAGCAGATGCTGACTCATTCAGGTGGTTGTCAGGCTGGCCAGAGCTGTTGGGAAACCCAAAAACTCTAAGGTCATGGTGCCGACCTGAGGAACCCACTTTGTCCGTGTCACAGTGTCCCCAAAGGCTGCCCCCACATCAGTGAGGACCAAGAATGAGGGTAGGAGTGGACCTCTGTAATCATTATGTACGTCCAGCAGGGCTAATAAAAACAAAGTTAAAAAGAAAAACTTCCTAAAGGGAGTGAGTTGTCAGTACAACCAAAAATTGAACAGTCAGTTGTGTTTATCCCTTTTCTACCCCCCATTAACTTATTTCTTTCACTTTTTATTACCATATGTTTGTGACACATAATGAACACGTTCATCATGGGGGTTTAATACACATGGCGCACTGCATCTTGATTCTTTCCTCTTCTCTGGCTCCTGCCTGTCTTCTCCCATCTATAGATCTTCCCATTTCTACAATATCTGTCTCCCTATTTCCTATCATGTTTTACTCTTTCAATTATGTATACTTTGGAATACTTTGGATTACTCAAATAAAAGAAACCATGTGAGATTTAACCTTCTGCATCTGATTTAGTTGACTTAGCATATGGTATAAACACAGGAAGAGAACCACCTCAGAAACATGATAAGATTCTGATGGTCTGCGTCTCTCTGTGGCGTCGTGTGTAAGTTATGTTCTCAGTGTACTAGTTTGGGGAAGAAGACTCTGACTCTATAATTTGATCTGTTTCTACATTACACCCATTAGTTATTTACTTTTACCAGAAAAATAACAAAAAATAATAACATTGCTCTCTGTTAGGTATGGTTCCAGATTACTAATATGTTTTATTTTCATTTGTTTGCCCCAATAATCTGTGAAGATACTCTTACGATTTCCATTTTCACAGTTGAAACCAAAGCAGTTCTTGGCTAGATCATTCACCACAGGTGCACAACCAGGACTCTGGCCAGCACTCCCACTCCAAAGCTTGCTTTTCAAAAGTCGCTGGCTGAGAGATGCTATGGTTTTATTATACCACTAACTTTGCACTTAATTTATGGCTGCTAGGTTGCTTGGCATCAAATGGGAAAAATGTCTAGCTGAATAAAGTAAAATTTTACTGAGTTGATTAGGTCTGTGTTTTATACAACAAAGAGATTTTTGGTTATTCTTACATGATATTAAAGATGATAAACATGATATTAAAGATTCTTACATGATATTGCACTTGCTTAAGTTACTCTAGATGAGTTAAAAGTTCTTTTGTTGCCTTATTTATACTTTCATGTTCCAACTGAGAAAATCCATCCCAATCATAAAGAGGCTATTTAATGTAATGACTAAACTTTAAACAGATTTTTCTTGTAATTTCCCCTGCTACTTCTGCATTTTCTTTATTCATTCTTCCTTATCTTGAACACATTCCTTCAGCATTCCCTTCATTTTTATCTCATTTTTCCCCTCAATCTTTTCAGTTTCTTTTGGGGAGAGTTGCTTTTCATTTCTTTTTATCCATCATTGGTTGATATGTATTGTCCTTTAGATGAGTCAGGCTTCTGTGATATGCTTAGTGTTAATAGAGAAGTCTAGAAGTCTAGTGTAGTATGCACAAGTTGGAAGGTGAAGAAAAAGAGTTATATATACACAAAGTAATATATACACAAATATATGTGTAGCAAAATAAGAAAGAGCTACCTACAGCTATTACGGTCTTTATTTCGACAACTGCTCTTGTAGTCATAGCTGACATTTTTAATTTCCTGTTTCTACAAGGCAGTCCATAGTTCCTCTGCCATTGTTAAATACCTCAGTTGGATATGGTTCCAGACCTGGCAGGTGGACCCAAACATTTACATTTACAATGTCTGGGCTATTAGTAGTGTTTGCCTTATTGGACTCTTTGTAATATACCATTGGCTTTTTTTTCTTTTTACAGTAGCTCTGGGACTTTTGCTTTTATTTTTATTAGTACATGCATGCAGTGCACAATGATTACATTTATTCTAGGAAGTTGGTATGTGGATATTACACATTCTAATCCTTTTCACATCACTTTCCTCCTTCTCCAGGTCCTTCCTTTTGTCCCCTTCTTATTTGTAAAAGATCTATAGTCTTGTTTGCTATTATTATTTTTTATTTTGTTCTTTTATTTATAGGTTGGGTTTCTTATATAAGAGAAATTATGCAATATTTAAACTTTCATGTCTGATTTCATTTACTTAACAGCAAAGTGTTAGCTATTGTGCATAAATACCACATACTCTTCATCCATTCATCTGTTGATGGACTTCCAGACTTTTAGCTCTTCTGAATTGCTCTGCTATAAATATGAGTATGTGTGTACCACTGTGATGCCTTTAAATCTATGGGAACATATCTAAAAGAATAGATGGATTGAAAGGAATTTCTGTTTTTATTTTTTGAGGAATTGTCTTAGGTACTTTTTACTCATTGCTGAGACAAAATACCTGAAGCCCAAAGTTGGGAAAGGAAAGGTTTATTTCTTACAGTTTTTGGAGGTTTCAGTTGGCTCCAAGACAGGCGGGCATGGCTGGGCCGCCATTCATGGCAGCTGCAAACAGGAAGCTCGAACCAGCAAAGAGCAAGACACACCTTCTTCCTGCCATTACATCACATCCTGGATCCACCTCTATGTGGACACCATTAATCCAAGCACTAGACAATGAACCATCACAAATGCACAATTCTAACTCATGAGGCCTGGGGGACACAGACATAAACCATGACAGGAATCACCATGATTTCCTTAATGGTTTTTGTCACTAATCATCTGAGTTTTTATAACAATGTTATCAATGTTACTATGGAAGAAAAAGCTTAAAATAAGAGGTGATTCCAAGGAGTCTAAAGTCACTTAATTTTTTATAGATCTCAGTTTCCTCATCTGTCATGGTTTATGACAGTAGCCTTCAAGCCTCATACAATTATGCATTTGTGATTGGTTCACTGTCTATCACTAGGATTGGTGGTGTGAGTACTACACCTGCCTTAGGGTGGAGCCAGGATATGATGTAATGGCAGAAAGAAGGTGTGTCACTTTCTCCTGCCAGTTTTTGCCTTGCTGTTTGCAGCTGCCGTGAACTGTGGCCCTGCCATGCCATGCTGCCTTGGAGCCAACTGAGTATGGACTGAAACCTCCAAGAACTGTAAGAAATAAACCTTTACTTTATTTATTTTGGGTGCTGAGTATTTTGTGCCAGCAATGAGGAAAAAGTAAATAAGACATCATCTATAAAATTAAATGGGAAAATTGCTAAAATGTTACTCCACTTAGGAATTTTTACTAGAATTTTTAATTTGTTACATACATTTTACATAGAAGACACTTTAGGTGATGCCTAAGAACACCACACATTAAATCAAGTTACTGAAAGCATTCTTCTTGTCATTTAGGTCATGTGGATGGTCTCCACCCAAAACAACAGACACCAGGAAGAAGTGAATTTTGGATTGATTTGATGTTACATTTTTACCTACATTGTGTGAACCCAGCTCATCAACATCCAAATCAAACTGCTTGTATATAGTTCTTAATAAAAAAAATTCATTATGTAAATCTGGCTCTTATGTCTTACACTGAAGTTTGATTTGTTACAGTGATTAGTTTCTCAAGGACTGCCCAAACTCTGAACAAAACACCAGGGGCTTAGTGAACTGAGTTTACAGAGGATTCCACTTGCTGCATGACCCATGAATAGCCTATTTTGAGCTTGTGGGTGAGATAGTGAACGTGGCCTCTTATAGGAGCTTTGATTTTGATTTTGGAACCCTTGAAAGAGTCCATTTCAGTGCTGCCGATAACTCTTCCTGACATTTAATGATTTTTGGTGTTCATATTCTTTGTACATGAATGTCCTCATTTATCCCTCAGAGCCATGGTTCATTCATTTATCTTAGTCTATTCTTAGTAGTGGGTAAGCACATGTGCTCACCATCCTCCTGCAAAAATAGCTGAAGTGCTTGAAGATGCTGCCTTTGGGTACCATTTCCCAGATGCAGTGCATAGAAGATCTATTTTAGTTTCTCACTGAAAACCAATTTTGTCAGTGTCAAAGTATGAAGTATATTTGACTGGTTAAAAAATATAAAATGAGCAATTATGACTGTGGGATCACCTTGCTTTCAGGTTATTGGAGACTAGAAGTGGGAAGAAAGTTTAGTCGCAATGAATCTATGCATCTATTGACTATTTATATTACAGATGTTTACAAAGCACCGTAGAATCTCCATTTCAAAAATTAAGACAATGTGGGGCTGGGTATTTAGCTCAGCGGCATAAGCGCCTGCCTTGCAAGCAGGCAGTCGTGAGTTCGATCCCTGGTACCGATAAAAAATGAAAAAGACCAAAAAAAAAAAAAAATTAAGACAATGTTTCTGTTGTATGAGAAATCAAAAGTATATGTAAAGAGCATAGGAAAGAGGGAGAAAGGTCTTTCTCAATTACCAAGCCAATCAAGAGATGGAGGGAGGGGAGAGAAAGGAGATGAAAAAGGAGAGCAGATGTGTTAGCTATCTGCACCTCTCCCCACAGGGAGTGTGAGCATTACACCCTGGAAACAGATATTACTATAAAATGGTGACTAGAAGAGAACAGAGGCTGGTGGGAGCTGTCTTCCCCTCTTCTGAAGGCAAGGACACAGCAAGAGGTGCCATCTAGGAAATAGAGATGTAGTCCTTACAGACACTGAGCCTGCTGGCACCTTAATCTTGGCCCTTCTAGCCTCCAGAACTGTGAGAAATAAATTTCTATTATTTAAAAAAATTAAGGCAAAATTTCTTAAGGCATAAAAGTTTTCCAGCCATCTAAGAATCTGACCCCATCTGTACATCTCCAAAATGCACATGCAGTGTTGTCCCTAAACCAAAAAGGGGCATTAGCTAAGATAAAATCGATAAGACTTGTTTGAACCTTTTGTGCAAAGATGGAAGATTGTATATAATATACAGAATTTCATAAAAAATTCAGAAGGTCTGACAACACTGATCCCACAGTTATTGAGTTAGAGACAAACTGGGGCTGCCTTCCTTTAGAATAGGGGTGTGGCACCACATTTGCCCCAATTCCCACCATTCCTGGTGCATCCATAGTGATGGCTATGAATATCTCTTGGGCTTTTTTACTTTTTAATTAATATTTTTGGCTTATTAGTGCATGCGTGTAGCACACAATGTTTACATTCCTTGTGTGGCGTTGCTCATGTGCATAACATATCTTTATTCTTTTTTTCGTCTGCTTTTGCTTCCCACTTTCACCTCCTACACCTCCCGCCTTGACCTATTCCTGTTTTGTACATGTTTGCAGTACATAATGTTTATACCCCAGTTCCCTTCTTCATCCCATTCTCCTCCTCTTCCCTGCTCTGAGAACCATCTACCTCCCTACTTCCCATGTGTATGTGTCCTTTATCTTGATCTGTAGCTTCACTCTGCACTTCTCATATAAGAAAAACAATGTGAACATCTATTGTTTTAAAACTTTAAAAACATGCCAGCATTAAGTATAATACTGTCTAACTACTTAAATTACTCTATCTAAATACATGTGAGAAAACATCTAAATATTAATACAAATATACAATAGGCAGTCAGAGCTGAAAAATAAGCAAAGTTACTTTTCAAATATGCTGGTGGTATAATTGTCTTCAAATTCAGTTTTGTAAGAATGGTGAAATTTAATATCAAACATATTAAATGATGTGCATTGAAAAAGTATGTGACACATAGGCAGCTGGTTTCCCACAAACCAACTATCCGATGGGTCATATGATATTATCCAATAGATGACAATTTTTCTATTCAAAATAATTGAGCAGAGAACCAATATGCTTTTGCTCCTGTCACTCAGTTATGTAATCTAGATTTTCTAAAATAACATGTATTTTCAAATTTAAAAAGTGTTAGTGTTAATTTTTTATTACATTTTCAACCAGACAGATTTCACCGTATGCCAAGTCTTATACTTTCAGTTCATTATGATTTTACCATGAACCTTGAAGGGTTAAAAAATCACTATAAGTTTAAAATTGTTGTTTTTCATGGTTCTTTCCTAAAAAGAATCACCTTGTAAACACTTGGCAGAAAAGTCTATTTTCAGGAGATAATAGCACCATGCTTTGAATTTGTACAGTTCTAACTGGGCAAAGTTGTTGACTAGAGGATTTATTTTTAAATTTTCATTTGATTTGATTTGATTAGTGTGTGTCTTCAGTGCATAAAGCATGCATTCATATTAGGGAGTAGGTACAAGCACATAATACAGCTTGTTATTTTTTAATCCTTTCCCCTCCCAACCCACCTTCCTTCCTCTTCTAAATCCTCTTTCCCTAGTTAGATTCTTATTGCTATTGTTATTTTCAATCTGTGTTTATGACTTGCAATGTTTGCATCCATCATGGGTATTTATTCTTGTAAGTGACACATCTTCCATCTTTTTCTCTTCCCTTTCTACTTCTCCTGCCCTCAGCCTCATTCTCCTGGACTCTTTCTCATTTGGTAAAGACCTATGTCCTTCTTTCCTTCTATCAGTGCTTTCTTTTACTCTTTATTTGTATTCTGCCTTACTCACATGACATTCCACATAGTATTTAAGCTTCTGTCTGATTTATTCCACTTAATATTACAGTTCCCATGTGTTCCATTTGTCAATTGCTATTTGTTTGTTTAAAGAAGTATTCACGGAGTGCCTCCAAGTTCTCTGCCCTGGGCTGGCATAGTAGACACAGTGTTAAAGAAAAGCAGATGCATTCTTCGCTCAGGGAGCTAGTGCTCAAGTGTAAGGGAAAGGTATGGATCACAGGGTCCCGTGTGAAAATGTCCCAGGGAGAATACCATAAAGGGTTTCACGAGGGGAAAATGACCATAGTAAGGAAATGACAGTTTGCAGTCTAAAGGAAAAATAATACACTTCATGAACCAAAGACAGATGAACAGGTTAGGCAGATTAGCACTGCCAGGGGCCCAGTATGGGAGGCAGAGGACGAAGGATTCCTTGGTGGCTCATCAGCGAGCACAGCTGAGTGCAAGGCGAGGCTGAGAAAGAGGAGAAGAGCCAGACTGTGCAGGGATTTGTGGGCCATCTCAGGCAGTTAGTTGGGAAGAAGTAAAAGGTTTTAGAAAGGCTTAAATGGAAAGTAAGCTGTTTTGTGCTACAAAAGAGTCACTCTGATTGCCATGTAAAGAAGTGATTTGAAGGAAGACAGAGTGGATGCAGATCAGAAAGCTAGTCACCCCTGGAGTGCCTAGCTATGATCACTGTCTATGACTGGAACCAAATGATGCTAAAATGTATTGGCTTAGCACAGTCAGCCCACTTGGGGGGCCCAAGGTAGATTTTCCATGGTGAGATCCTAAGGTTAAAGAATGCACATGTGTAATGCATCAGTCATGACATCAGGCAGCATGGAGGAGAGCAGAGCACAAGAGCCCCCTGCATCTTTATTGTATAATTATTATACAGGTTGTCATTTCATATTTACCTTCTTACACAGTGCTGTGACTGGCACATGCGTGTTTACTTGTGGTGAGTCATGGTTACATAATTGTATACCACTGTGTGCCTGAACTAGACAAGCAAGGACAGGTCCTCAGGTGTTCTTAGATGCCCTGAACTTCGAAGCAGTCCACGTGGTTCCCACAACAATGTCCATCCACAGTCTCACAGATTCTGTCAGCAGCTATCTGCCCCCAGCTGAAGTGGGTTCTCTGGCTCTCATATTCTTCAAGGCTACAATCAGGAGTCCTGTGGCACTGTACCCATCTCGAGGCAGAAGACTCACTGGCAGGGTAACTTGCAAGGTTGTTGGCATGACTAGTGCCCATGGATTTTCAGATGCAAGGTTCATTTTCCTTATAGCTCTTAGCCAGTGACTTGGTTCTAAGTTTCAGCTCACAATAGGGAAGGAAACTGGACTTCATCAGAGCAAGAGTCATAAAAATACACTGAGAACAGGACCAACACTTAAGCCTTTTTTTTGCAACCTAATCTCCAAAGTAACATTCCATCAATTTTTCATGTTCTATTCATTAGTCACTAGCCCCAATTCACACTGAAAGAGTAGGAGTTATACCAGTATACGAATACCAGGACTCAGGGAGCCATGGGAAATCTAAAATGCTACCTCTCATGGGTAAAAGAGAATGAGTGAATGGCAGCTTGGATTAGAAAAGTTTAGAGCAAAGTACGGGGATTCTAAATCTATTTAGAAAAAAGCAAATATATTTGATGATAGATGTGTTATAAACTGAATTGTGTTCTTCCCCCAAACATTTCTGTGGTGAAGCCCCAATCCTGAGGACTTCAAACTGTGACTTTATTTGTTCATGGAGCTTCTAAATATGTTGCTATTCAAATCTAGTTCACTCCAACTGGTGTCCTTATAAGAGGAGAAAATTTAGGCACACCAAGAGGCACCAGGAATAAACATGGAAAAAGAAGACCATGTGGGGACACAATGAGATAGTGACCATCTGCAAGCCAGAAAGAAGCCTCAGCCCAGCCTTCCATACTGTGGGAAAATAAAGTTCTGTTTTGTGATCTACCCAGTCTGAATTAATTTG